GACCCTGAATTTTTAAAAAATAGAGGGACAAAAAATAAAAGTACAGTTTGAAAATTAATGCCACAAAATTTGAGTCACATTAGTGAGGTGGGGGATGCAATAACTAATCACTTCATTGTTCCTGTCAAAGGAGCTGTGAGTGTGTCTTGCCAAAGAAAGCCAAATGCTAAGTAAGGCACCACACATGACAGTAACAATTCCCCCACCACCATCACCCCAAAAATGTGAAATCAACACACCACTGAAGAGAACATATTTAAACATAAAAGAGGACCAGAATTTGCTTCGTGGAGTTCTTTGCTTCCTGCATGACCATTCCTAGGGCATCTTTCATACAGGAATTCTAGATCAAGAAACTGACACCTGATGAGGGAAATAGTTTAAATTCTTTACAGTGTGCTCAAAATTACTGCAGAACAATACCAACTCAAATACTGAAATAAGGATCTTGAGGTACTTATGCATTCCATCAATAATATCTGTGTACAACTTTATTTCTGCATGATATAATTCTGTTTCTGTATCAACTGTCAGACTCTCACTGAGCTTGATTTGGCAATAAGAAGGAAGTAAAATGATTCCTTGAAGATCCTCTGATTGTCTTAGGCTTAAGCCACTAATTACCATACAGCCTTTTGCATGGTCCCCTCAGTGCCCAAGCTGTCTAGGGGATGTCCAGTGCAGAAGCAGAGGAAAAGGAACGCAGTGATCCTTATCCAGAGGCTCAGAGCATTGGACATAAAGTCAAGTCAAATGTTTCAAGAGAAAAAGAGCTCTTCTGTGTCCTTGGCGTGCTGTAAAATGGCTAACTTAAAAAATATGAAGACCCTCTCCCTTCATCTTACTACTGTAATACTTCTATCATTTTTATCACTTTCTCCCACATGGATAAAGATCTAGCCATACACTAGAAGGAAAAAGTGTTTTCTTTCTAAACAGAGATATGTTTTCCATGTGTCAAGGACAACTGAGCTCAGAAGGCATAAGTTAGATTTATTTAGAGGCTGAATTTATATAAGACTAAATTGTGATATTTTATTTCCCTCAAGTATGGCCTTAAAACCATGCCACTTTGTTTTGAAGGTTTATTTTTATTTTTGTAGATACTAGATTTATAGACCTTTTGTGAATGACAGATAATATTGCTAAGTTTAGGTATATTTTAATCATTCAGCAATGTGCTAATAACCAATTGTATTTAGTTAACAAATTTTTTGAAACTTCAAATTTCAATTCTCTTTAAATCTGCTATGTTAATATTGACATTTATTCATCACAGTGATTGTGTTACAATTACCTGGAAATAGTCCCTAACTAACTTTGCCTCATGGCTAGTCCTCCTCTCAACAATAGCTAATCAAATATGTTTAGAAAGTGAAAATTAAAAGTAAATTTCATTCATTATGCTCAACAACTGCAAAATGCTTTTAAAATTTTTTTGGCAGAAGATTATAATTTTTTTGTAAGGCATTGAAAAAGTGTAGCACCAGAGACATAAATATAAGAGAAATGAATCGCTTTTAATAATTTAGTTTAAAAACAATTAACTCTGGGTCATTTCTCAAAGTCAGTCTTCTAGGTCAAGAAAATGAAAAGTAATTTAGAGACGCATAATACCTTTTACTAAATATTTCAAATCCAGGACCTTCATCTGTATTATAAGTAGGTAGAGAAAGGATTACTTAACAGCAGTTCAGGCACTTCCAAGCCATGAATATCCACCTCGCAAAAATCAACTCGTGAGTAAAGGGATGTATACTTTCCTCACTGCAACAAAGCTAAACTGGGGCTGGTTACGGGAACTTCCTAGCTTTCATCTCTTCTTGCTCCCTCCCAGTCTTCATCTCCGAGAAGACTGAGCACCAGCCACACAGCAGGTGAGCAGGCTTCCCTGGGCTCAAGAGGGACTCAGATCCCTTCCATTTATTGAGGCTCCCAGTATATTACTTTAAAACGCTTTAAAACGAGGTTACAAAATGAGGTAGCATATTTTAAAAGTTCAGTCCTAAAAACGAATCTGAATGGCAGTGTGTATAACCTCATTAGGAGAAACATCAAGAGTCTGAATCTGAGGCTCTCATGAAGATGAGAACAGACCACATGTCTCTCCAAGTTCGCTCTATAATTAGCGCAGCTGTTTACTCCCAGCTTTCATTCCGCGGCAGTTTTCTAACAGGTTGCCCAGCCACCAGCATTTGCCTCCTTCGGTCCACCCTCCATAATGCTGCGGAGGGATCTTTCGAAAATGCCCTTTTGATCACATTATTCCGCTGGCTAACTCCGTCCTCAGATTTCCAGTCCCCGGAGGAGAAGTAAGGCTGCGTCCCGTGGGGACCGCAGCCGCGCCCGGCTGACCCCTCATCTCCGTCCGCCCGCGCCTGCCTTCTCCCCGCTCAGCCTCCGGACTCTGTGCACCTGCATTTGCTCACACTGTTCCCAGCGCCTGCACCGCTCCTCCTTTAGGATTCACAAGCCTTCGTGGACCCCTTCCCGAGGCTCTGGCCACCTCCCGGCCCCTTTTTGGGGCCCCATTTAGCCCAGTTACCTTTTCCGCAGTCTGTGCTTAGCTGCTCATGAGTGTGACGCACCCCGTACTTGGAGTCTTGTGAGGGCAGGGACCGTGTTTTATTCATTTTTGGATCCTCAGCGCCTGGAGCACAGAGTACTAGGTTAATCCATATTATAATATTTTCACCTCTGCTGTTGCTGTTCGGTTTCCTTGATTTTTCTTCACATGTTTCTTTTCCTCTTTTCACCGTTCTATTTTTGAACTTTAAAAAGCGCTTTAATCATGGCTGGTAAGAGTTAAAATAGTGTTATTCAAAGACTTTTTACCATGGATCAGCAGAATTATGTTTTGAAGGAGAATTCTATGTAATTTTTAAAAAGCCATCAGCTTTTAAATTCCCTTAGAATATAAGCTTCTCCGTGACAATTTCCATACATCTCTTCATCTTCTCATACTTAAATCTGCTTCTCTTCAAGTGCTGAGAGACAAGAAAATTTTAAGTTTTTATTCAGTTTTATTATTTCTATCTTTGGTTTTATTGCTGCAATATTTTTTCTGCTTCTTGTTCATTTCACATGTATAATGTTTCTGCTACATTGTAGATTAAGTGACTTTCACAGGCTGGCCTGCCAACCCCCATACCATCCATAATAGCTTTTTCTGTGGGGAATTGTATTTTAAGTTGCAAACAATATGCCTCAAAATTCTGGAATTTAGCATATTCGCAGGTTGTGGATTTGCCACTAAAAGTCTCCACTGAGATTAGAAAACTTGATATGTATTAATTATTCATTCAGCAAGTATTTGATTAACAACATGGCAGGATGAACTTCAGGCTTTGAGGATAGGGAGTGAAATGAATTAGGTCCCTGCCTTCAAGGGGTTTACAGTCTGCAGTTAAATTCTGCTAAAAATCAGCCTGCCTCTCCAGTATTTATTGCCCCTCATGAAAACAGATAAATTCTATTTATGATCTTAATGACATAGAAAATAGCTATTATGAGAATAACAGTAACTTCCATCCTTCTGAGAAACACTTCATAGACACAAGAAATACTTTGTCATGTTTGTTTCTTTAAATACTCATGTGAGAGCCTAATTATCCACAAATGTTTTCCTTTTTATGAGCTTCCCTCCACCTTAAAGAGATTTGTGCGATTTTGTTATTTCACAATATCTACACTAATTCTTGAATATCCTTCTGGAAGGAATCCTCAAATTGTACACTTATTTTCATAGCCCTCTTTTTCTTTAGTCTAGACGATGGATCCATCCACTACTTAAGGCTCTCATTTATTGTCTTCTACCAAGAGAAAAAAGATAATGGGTCTGGAGCTGTAAGGTCTTTAACGATGTACATTCCTAAGCATTTAATATGTGAATTAGTGGTCTTAAATGGTTATCCTTTAATCAGATCAGAATTATTCTTGGCAACTAATGGATGTATCTGTAAAATGAAATTTGTTCATTAATGATAGAAAGGTTTCTAAAGATCTTTTAACACGAGATAAATAAAGCAGTAGATCAACAGAAGATAGGTACATTTCATAATAATCACTCTGAAAGAGCTATTTCAAGTAATAATTACCTAGTCAGGAATGATGAGGAGTTTCTAATGCTATAACTATAAGAATCACTTACCATGTGGCAAGAAAAACCTGCTATTTCTCCAAGCTTAAAATGGAAACATTCTTTAATGGGAAAATAATGTTTTAATTCACTATCTTAAAACTTTTTAAAATACATTAATGCAATGTTTTCATCTCTAAGGTTTCACTCATTAATTTCCTAAGGATAATATTTTTAAATGTATCTTTCCAAGAATTAAAAGCTGGCAAAACAGTATATTTCTTTCATATTTCCACGGAAGCCTTCCTTTTATAAGACATAGCTTTCCTGATAGTTATTTCTTTAACCTTTTCCACTTTTGCTGGTCTTTTTCCCTAAATCTCCAATTTAAGTCAGTTGATATTTTGTGGCTTGTCCAGTTGTGGAGATCTCCTTCCCTGAACTGATCACACTACCCAGAAAAAACAAAGACTACAGTTTTTTGGTGCCCGTCTGAGAGGAACAGAGAGGCTAGCTCCTACTGCTTAGAGCTGAGTGAAGAGAAGGAAATTGGCACCATCTTTCTTACCAGTTTATTCATTTGTTGCCTTATTCATTCAGCTAGTATTTACTGAGTATTTATTCTAGACAGGCACTACGAGCTCAGGGAAATGAAGCCAGGGAATGACAACACACAATGGAAAGTACTGTACAACACAGAACAAAACACCAGAACTTTATTTGTGGTGCTCCAGGCTAGGGAAGGAGCACCAGACCCTCACAACACCGTGACAATGATCATTACATAGTTTTTGTCCGCCTAGTAGACTCTACTCTTCCTAAGATTCCATGGCTTTTCTTACCAGGGAACTTCTTAATTATACGAGTCCGTTAGAAGATTTGGTGCAGCCATTATGGAAAACAGTATGGAGATTCCTTAAAAAAACTTAAAAATAGACTTACTATATGATCCAGCAATCCCACTTCTATATCCAGAGGGAACTCTAATTCAAAAAGATACGTGCATCCCAATGTTCACAGCAGCACTATACACAATAGCCAAGACATGGAAGCAACCTAAATATCCATCAACAGATGACTGGAGAAAGAAGTTGTGGTAAATTTATACAATGGAATACTCCTCGGCCATAAAAAAGAATAAAATAATGCCATTTGCAGCAACATGGATGGTCCTAGAGATCATCACTCTGAGTGAAGCCAGAAACAGAAAGAAAATACCATATGATATCACTCATATGTGGAATCTAAAAAGAAAGAAAGGAAAAAGAAAAAAAGGACACTATGAACTCATCTACAAAACAAGAAACAGACTCACAGACATAGCAAACAATCTAATGGTTACCAGGGAAAGTGGGTGAGAAGGGATGAATTTGGGAATTTGAGATTTGCAGATGTTAGTCACTATATATAAACAATTTTTTAAAAAAGTTTCTTCTGTATAGCACAGGGAGCTATAGTCAATAATCTTGTGATGATCTTTAATGAGATAGACTATGAAAATGAGTATATGTATATCTATGCAAGACTAGGACATTGTGCTATACACCAGAAACTGACACATTGTAACTGACTGTACTTCAGTTTTAAAAAAACTTTTTAAAAAGTCTGTCAAAGGATAGAGCTGACTTCAGAAACTCCATGGAAAGCTTCTAAACATAAGCCCTCATGACTTTTAGAGCATCTAGAAACCTACTTGCTAATGTAGCCTACCATTATTTGTATTGAAAAAAAATGCATAGCTCCTCAGCAACCAAAGGCTGAGTATTAATGATTTTTACTGTTCTCAAGTGAATTCTGTTATAAGAAATCCACTGAATTTCAAGCATGTACATATGCTTAAGGCATCCATTGAATGAAACCTAGTGGAGGTCCCCTGGAATCTGACACAGCTAACTCAACCAGACTTGTCTGAAACCAGGTTTCTCAGTTTGGGTGCCATGGAACCTGAAAGATATTAACCATAAGAAGAGCTAATGTACCTCATGTGTCAGTCAGAAGCCTGACTCAGAATCCCGCCCTATGTGTTACACTCTCCTTTTGTACCACCTCTAGCCCTTGAATTTCTGGTCAGGAAGACCTCCTGACTGCTCTTAGTGATGTGGCTCCTCCTTGCCTGTTCCGCAATAATCCTAGTTTGGGTATTTTTCAGCTCTGATCTTTATATGTTGATTTTGACATGTCAAAGACCCATAATGTATATTTTTCTAATTTAAACATATAATGTGTGAGACACTGTTCTTAGGACTTTGCAAATATGCACCCATTTAAGTTGTGATTTGTAGTTTTTCTGAAGCAAGAACTGGAATCACAGATACTTCTAAGATGCGTCACTTAACCAGTGAATGAACCTACCTGACTGTCCAGTATTCGTATCTCACCATCTAGCAGCTCACTGCCGTTCAGCTTTGTTTCTTACTTGTTTTCAACAATAACTGTCATGAAGATTTATGAACAAAATGACTCAAAAAGAAGGCCAGCTGCTAAGGCTGTTGATAGAAATAAACAGGAAGCAAAGTAATTTGGGGAAATAATTTTTCTTAGAAAACAGAAGTTTTCAATAGATTAAGTTGTGGAATGTTGAATCTGACAGTGGATTAGATGTGTAACATAAAAGAATTCACAGAACCTTCTACATCAAATAAAAGAAAACCATTTTAGGGAGAAACCATTTCATGTCCCAACCAATGCAGTGGTTGCACACCATGGGGAAGAAAGGTCAGTGAAAGTTTATTTTGTTTCCTTGGTGTTAGGAGGATATGTACCAGAAAGAACTATCAGTGCAAAAGTAACTAGGGAGAAGGCCAGAAGTTAGAATAAACACCCCCATAATACATAAAATTGGGGATTCATAAAGGTCTCCAAGTCTATCTTTGTAAATGTCAGGGGTCTACCACACTGTTTAAGATCTTGAATATAACAGAATTTTTGTTATTTGATGTGAATATTTTTTATATTTTGGTAAAATAAAATTTACCATTTTACCCATTTTTTAAATGTACAGTTCAGTGGCATTAAGTGCATTAATATTGTTGGGCAATCATTACCATTATCCATCTCTACAACTTTTTCATTATCCCAAATTGAAATTATGATTTCATTAAACAATAATTCTCTTTTCCTCCCTCCCTCCAGCACCCCTCCAGTAACCACTATTCTACTTTCTGTCTCTATGAATTTAACCACTCTAGGTACCTCTAATAAGTGAAATTATACAATTTTTGCCCTTTTGTGTGTGGCTTATTGCACTTAGCATAATATCTGCAAGGTTCATCCATACTATAGCATGTATCAGAATTTCGTCCCTTTTAAAGGCTGAATAATATTCCATTGTATGTATATACCATGTTTTGTTTATCCCTTGAAAAATATCTGAGTTGTTTTCACCTGTTGGTTATTATGCATAATCCTGCTGTGAATACTGGTGTACAAATAGCTGTCTGAGTCTCTGCATTCCTTTCTTGAGGGTATGTCCTCAGAAGTGGAGTTGCTGGACCAATGGTAGTTGTATGTTTAATTTTGTGAGGAACCTCCATACTTCAACACAAATATTTTTAATAGAGCTAGTGCAGTTAGTAGCAAAGCTTAAATTTAAATAATAATTATCCTCACTACTGATTTTAGTGAACTAATTAAAACAGAAATCACATCCACCCTTGAATAGCTCCTATTTGCTGGTGCAAACATCTTGCATACATTCCACTCTTTCTGGACCAGGGTGTCTGTAGCCATATGTGTTCTTCTCTCTCTGGAAGCTGTCCATTGATTTTTCTTGGCGATTCATGGCCTCTGAGTCTTAATTATTAACTCTGTTTTGATGGCACAAACCCAAAAGCAGAAGACTTATCTACTGTGAAACTTGTTCATCAGAATTTAGGTTCACATTTTCCTTTGCCTGTAGTTTTTACTTATTTCCTCATATAAGTCAGAAATAAATGACAGTTATGATCATGGTCTGTTAACTTTTGATAGTTTATTTTGCAGTGTTTTTCTGCCCATATTTATAAGGAAATACCTTTACTTAAGTGGTTAGAGTTCTTTCATCCTCCTTTGATTATACAGCACTGTCAATTGTATTTTCAGTGGGTTTCCTGAGTGTTTTAATGTCACAGTACAAACACTATCTATTAGTCCCATAATAGATTCAGAATCCTTTCAGATCAAAAGCCTAGGTCAAATATTCAGTATCTACTAAAGTTATACATTTGTGAGAAATAATTTTGACCTCAAAGTTTGTATAGGAATCAAATGTCAGATAAGCTGTTTTGTGTCTCCCATTAACAGCAAAACTGGTTTGTTTTACACTACACTTGATCTTAGCCAAAAGGCCGAGAAGCGATGAAAACTGGTTTGTTTTAATACAATAACATCAGTGATTAAATATTCAAGGAAAGCAAGGAATTAAAATTTAGTGAAACTTTTCCCCTAACTTATTTTATTTATTCATTACATTGCAGCCGAATAATGACCCAGATTTCTGTAATAATACTTATTTCACTATCAAAATATGTGCAGTATTACACGTGATAGTATAATCAAATTAGATATAATATTCTTATTCTGGGGCTGTGACAGTATATTACTCCAAATTTGAAATCTACTTAACTTTCTTTGCTTCAGAGCCTTAAATCAACTCAGCTCTTTAAGTGTGTAGCTTCATTTGTTCTGAATCAAATATAATTTCCTTTTTAGGAAGGGAGTATCTTTAAAAGGCTCATTAATAAAATCCTAATGCAGTATCTTGGACTTCTGAGAATACTCATGTCACTTTTATGAGTTAAGTACAAAACGTTATAAAATATACAGATAAGATTTCCTATCAAACACACAGTGGCAAAATGTTCCTGACAAAGTCAGAACATTTCTAAAATAGTTGAAAACTTTCTAATGCCTTTGAAAAACACCAGTGCAATTATGCTGATACATCATGAACCAAAAGGCTTATTTTCTCATTGTGACTTGGATTTAGCCCACACACCTTTAGAAAGAGAAAGTGATGCTCTTCATTGGATTTGCAGCCCAGATGGCCTTACAGCTTTTAACTTTGAGGATATAAATGTTCTATTTCTAGAACGTGTAAATACACAAATAAAATGCATGCCAATTTACAAAATAAAAGGCCCAGTTGAAGAAATATAAGAACATTAATAGGGATCCAAGATCTGTAATAAGTTAAAGCTGAAACTAAAATACATATGTATGTGTATCTACATACTTATAGATATACATAGATATGACATACTTTGGATAAATAATCATTGTGATAAAAGCAGAACTTGAACCTAACAACAATAAAACATTACCTAAGGCTATTAGTTGACATCAAATTGAGGATCAGTGATAACAGGAAGGATAAGAAAGGCCTAGAAATTTTGGAGGCTGTTAAAGTCGTCAAGGCTCAAAATGCTTTTTTAAATTAAGAAACAAATCCATTCTCCGGCTAGGCTCACACCTGGCCTTATGCCCACTAAGTTTCAGATTGGCAGTTTACAGTTTATCGCTGGCATCTAAAATACTGACGGAAATAATCACAGAATCACTGATCCGCAAAGAACCTCAAGAAATTATCTGGTACTGCCCCCCCAAACAGGAAGACACCTAAACCACTTAAGAGAAAATATCAACTCTCTAATTTTAAGGTCTTCAGGAGAATTTCCACTGCAGTTTTTCGGTTCAAAGGTGATTTAACACATTTACTTGTTTTACGTTGTAGCTCAAGCTCAGAACATAAATTACAATTATGTTTAATTAAGCCAGCTTAGAAACTTTTGGTTTCTGCAGTTTCTCTTTATTTGATCCTCAAAACTGCTGAACTGATTTTAATATTAAAAAAAAAAAAAACTTACTCCTAGGCTGTAACCCTGCATGACGAATTCCAGCCCAGAGCAACATTTTATGATCCACTGTCAAGTTCTTGAAAAATGAAAAATGAGAGGAAAGAGAGGTTTAACTGTAACATGGATACACTTTGGACTGGATGTTAGCCACCTGAATAAGGTGTGTGTATAATCATAAAAACTGACTGTATTTTCCTTTTCTGGTATGAGCATGAAAACCTGTTATTTTCATAATCGGGCCAAATTTATTGTGTAATGAGAAATTGAACCAGAACTCAAAAGGGGGAAGAAAGAACATTACCCATGCAAGGAATAGATTTGAGGCACGTTTTAATTGAAAAGAAAAGCCCCACCATCTATTCATTTTTAAAGCATGAGTTGCATTCAACACATAAATCCTTCATTATTCATAGATGGAAGTGTTTAATGATGGAGTCTCTAAGGATTTATTTGATAGAATAATCTAAATTTCTTTTTTAAAAGAGTCAAATGAAATGTGGTTTTTAATTCTTTAAAGGACAAGTTTCAACGCATACAAAAATGTAACACAGGCTCTAAGTTTTTAAAACTGAATCTACAATTTGCCTATCCATTGGTATGTTCATCTGGATATCAGTAACATACAGACTTGATCTCATAATGGCTAATTATGCAGTTGTTTATCAGCTCATTTGAAACATTTTGAGATTCAGTCTAGCTCAGCAAATTACTGTGCTTAAGGCAGTTCTAGATTCTAGAAAATTATAATATCCCCAGAAGGCAAAGAATTAATAAAAATCCTCTTTTGTAAAAGATTATCATTGCAGAGCAAATGGAGCAGATCTTCCCTATCCGACTGCATTTAATATTCTCATTTTTCCCCTGAAACTTTGATGGAGAGGCAATGAGAATATCTCTGTTTTATTAACTTATTAAGAAGCACATTTATAGAACTTGGACACTGTATTGATTCCTAAAGCTGCGGTGCTGCGAAGAGCCGATAATCACAGGAGAGCAGGATGATTCACTTTGTTAACCCAGGATGTTTCCGAAACTTGGTAGAGCCCAAATTTTCACCCAATTCAGAAAGCCTGGTTATTTAACTTCTGTAAGCCTCAATTTATTCATTTGTAAAACAGAGGGAATAATGAAAGGCAGCCTCTGAATATTGTGAGGCATAAGTGAGACAAGGCCTGCATGTAGTAAATAATGTTAGTTTGGGTTATTGCTACGGTTAGGATCATCATTACCTCTTGTGGTTCAGAAATCAAAGATGCATGCATGTAATTAGCCAGCTGCCTAACTAGTTATGCAATTTTTCCATATAAATACTTTCGCATCAGCTGAAAGTTTAATATGAAATTTCTGCTCCAGCACTTTTTAACCCAGAACTGCCTCACCAAGCTAACATCAAACCAGCCTGAATAGGTGGCCTGACTACGATGCAGGATAAATCACCTAGGCTGTAGTCTGGAGTCGTGCCAGCTTCCAAGCAGCTGGGCTTGACAGCATAGTATTTTAAAAAGCGCTTGCTGTTGCCTCTACTGAACTGTGCCACAGAGTTTTGAACTTTTTCTTCATGATTCAGATTTCATCACTGATTTTGCCACCTTCATTTCCTCCACATTGGATCATTGCACTATCTTTTAAGAAGGAAAAAAAAATCCTAAAAAACTAACCAGATACCTGAACTGGAACATATGAGACTATGCTTTATAACATTATTTGCACAGAATATATGTACTACTTCATGGATTTTTGTCAACCAGGAAGGACTGCTTTTGGACTTCCTGGTAAAATTCAGTGTGCCACCTTTAGTTTATAAATATGACTGAAGACTCTGTATATAATTTAAAAACAACAACAACTACATCTTCATTTGTATATTGAAGAATTCAGTGAATAAGTGCTCCTCAGAAACCAAAATTCAACCCTAAAGGTGAACTCTGGAACTGATAGTGGCCCAGTTTCCCAATTCTGACTTCAAGATATCCCTGCCTCTCTTGGTTCAAGAGAACAACTCGTGCCGCAGGGCATTTTACCTGGTGGACGGTGGACGTACTATTAAGCTTTTTTTGCCCTAAAATGTGAAAAGCAGCTATCCAAGCAGCAGGGACTAACTACAGAACTTAGCTGCTCTTCACTCGATACCTAGTGTTTGACTTTTTTTTATTTTAAAACATGCAACCAATTTCTCTTAAATTTAAAACCATCCAGGAATAGCTTCTTCTCCATTATTATTCCTCAACTTTTCCTAGGGAAAATGGAATCCATTACAGGGGCTGCATATGTAGAAGAGAGAAATGAGACCAAACACTAGAAATCCATGTAGGATGCAGAAGCTAACAGCTGTGAATGTGAAGACTTGCTAGAGAGCAGTGGCTCTGGAATGCACGTTTACTCTGTAGACAGTGAGACTTCAGCATTCTGGAGAATGTTTTGAGCCCTTTCCATTGCTAGAAACAGTTAAAATGGGTTATTGTCACTATTTATTATAGAGGAGGTTTAGGGAAAAAGCTAGCCTGGAAAGGGCGAAGTATCTTTCACCAAAGGTTTCCAGAGTCCCAGTCAAACCCATTAGCATGGGGCCGTGAAAGCGCCACCTTATCATCACTACCATCACAGCTGTGGTTGTGTTGTTGTTATGGTTTAATCTCTCCGTGTTTAGCCTGCTATAATCACCATAATTCACCCTAATGTTATGTGATTAGCAGCCTCAGTTGTGGTGAAAATTAACCACCACTCACACAGCGTCTGTGACCTTTCACCCCTTGTGGAATGGGCCAGGGTTGCACTGGCTGAGAGACAAAATGCAGAAACTCACATGGTGCCGCCTGCTCTCTCTCAGGCGGAGGAATCAATGGGAAATTTCACTTTCCAGTTCTATGTGTTGATCCCTCAGCAGCCATACTAAGAAATACTCAATTCTTCCTCCATTTAATTTATTCTCATCCTGAGAAGACTGCAAAAGGATTTTGTAAAGTCCTGCTGTAGTGCCTTAATACAGAGGCAATGTGTCATTTTTAATAGAAAGACAAAAGTTATTCAGTTTCATTTGCAACATGGTCTCTAGATTAACTGCATGTTGGACATATTAAGAGGAGGTTTGGAGAATCTGATGTTTCTCGGTCTTACACTGAAGTCAGTACAGACACGAAAAACTCACTGAATGACAACAATTGGCAAGAATGTACAAATAACTAACCATCACCTTTTTCTAAAAAGAATACACTTCCTTCAATACTAGAGTCCTAACACTTGTGGAACACTGTTAACAGTAAATACGATAAGAGTCTGTTACTAATTTACAGACCTTTCAGATCATAGCAGCAATTAGTCAGAATTAGAAAATTATTTCCTGACAACCAATATGGCAGAGTGAAAAGTGGTAAATATTTAAATAGATGAAAATTTAGGCATTAGAGAATGTTGCTGTTATCACACCTATACTTTTAACCAGATTGATAATATGTGGCATGGTGAGTTTAATTTTCTACAGCACAGTACAAACTCTCTGCATTTTTTCTAATTACCACTTCCTACACGTCAGCTGAAATAGGAAAAGACGCAGTTGGTTCAGCTCAATTTCCACAGCTTGACAGGCACTGATATCAAAATTAATTCCAAAATGAAACTTCATAAAAGAAGATCCCGTTTGACAAAAGAACTACTGGGCTTGAATCACAGTTCCATTTGCATTGTGAAGTCCCATTTTTATTTTTATTGTATATAAAATAATGCCAAAGGAGAGATTGAAGACCCAGAGAGAGTTCATTTGAGGCATCCTCATAGTATCTGCCACATGCAAGTAAAGCAGAAGCCGTTTTTATGACACCTTCAGAACTTGAAGATTGAATTACAGTTTTAGTAATCATCAGTTCCCCTTCTCCAGTGTCACTTTTTGGTAATATATTGCACAGAAAAGACTTATGGTTCCAGTTTTATAAGCTTGCAATAAAAATATAACAACTGTTGTATTAAATTATTTAAGTTGTAAACCATTGTGAAAAAGGAGAGAAAGTTTTATCGACATGGAGGCTGAAAAACTGATTATAATGGAGAGCAAAATGTATTGTGCTGATTATTCCCAAGTTTTCCCCTCGATTAGCATATTGTAAATCTTCAAGATAGCTTTCAAATCAAGGTCTTGGTATATGGGGTTCTTTCATTTGTTGCCTACTTAGAACTGGCCATGGCAAAGGAAAAACAAAACCTATGTAGTTCCAGGCTACCAATTTATTTTAGCAGAGTTGTGAGTGCAGATAAAGGAAGGAAAAACAATAATAGAGAGACGCAAGTTTAAGTAAAAGATGCTAACTGAAAGAAACCTAAATATAAAATGACTACATTCCTCCAGAGCAATACAGACTCAAGACATTATCTGATCTTTCTAGAAATGCTTTTTTCTTATTTTATATTGATTTTACGGTCACTCAGTACCCCTCCTTTCCAGCATACGAGACTAGCCTGCTGCTGTGTACAAGAGGCACTAGGCTAAGGTGTCTGCTTTTCTCCAGTATCCCTCCGTTCCTCTAATAGGGCTTCTCTTCCAGTGCAGACTTCTTCCAGAACTTTGTGTCCATAAGGTGCCTCCTTTGCATTTCTAGGCCCCACCCAGGAATCTTGGAGCATCCTCTGTCTTGGTCAGAATGTCAGCATTCCATACTTTTCACTCCCACACTCCACTCCCTCTCTGCCTCCGCTCTTGCTGGATCTTGAAAGATAGCTCAAATCAGTCACCCACACACACACCTTCCCGGCCCCTCCCCCACCCCTCACACACATACATATACCTTTTGGCCACCTGAAAGAAAAAAAGGATCCACTTGATCAAATAATCAGATTTTATTTCTCTAAAGGAAATTAGAATAAGGAGGCCCCATATTTCCACCTGCTAAATCAAACCACACAGAGGACGCAAATAACTGGGTTACCTGATCCGTTAGTCTTGTCCACAACAGTAATTCTGGCACTCTTACCTGCTACTCCAGATGTTCTCTCTCATCAAGACTCAGAAGCAACAAACTGGCCATAGTCTCAATTTGATGGTGATGATGCTAATAACTGTAATTTATATGTGCCGGGCTCATGCCAATTTACTCAATCTTCACAACATCCCAATGAACTAAGTATTATTCTGATTCTACAGGCATTTAAGACGTTTAAGTCTTGCTCAAAATCACACAGCTAAAAAGTGTCAGAATCATGATTCAAATTAAGCACATGGCATTCACATGCTTACCAACTATAGTATATTAATGTGGAATGATTCGATCTCTAAATCATCATCACCAAAAGGAACGAGTAAGACTAAAAGAAGCGTGGAAGAGCTGGTGTTGCTCTCTGGTTTCTCCTATTCACTCACTTGTAATACATTTGTTGAGTGCAGGTAATGTGCCAGTCTATCCTTGGTCTGAGGATATAAAGATAGTAACATAAGGTTACTGCCCTCATTATCCACTGAGAAGGAAACCAGGTAAACAGCTGCAGTTCAGTATGATGCCGTAATTGAAATGTATACAAGGTGTCATGGGAAGACTGGGGGAAAAAATAAAGCCCAAGGAATTCCATGCTTTTATTAAACTTATTGACAGCCTATCTCCAGGAGAACAGTCATCCTCTAAGGGAGAATCAAGAATAGCTCCATCCTCAACTAAGAAGTTTAATGACAATAACTGTCTGCTTCCTCTTCCCTGGACTAAGAAGAGAAAACACTTAGCTGGGGCAATTCCACTCATTTACTTGAAATCAGAGGTTCTTCCTTCTTCCTCCCACACCTACAGCTTTATGAGCCAGGAGCACCCAGATCAATGGGAGCAATTTTTGTCAGCGATCTGGAATTGGCTACTTCCCTGACATCTGGAATCCATGAAGTTACACCGCTTGATTTAATTAGACCCTCCCACACCTACGCTTCCAATTCCATAGCAGTGAGACTTGAAGTTAAGTAGCCATAGACATATGGATAACTAATAACTCCCTCAGCCCCCTCCAACACATGATCTCTATTACTGAGACATTCTGCCAAGCTAGCCTCATTGGATATCCATGGCCCAGGAGCAGAGAACCATGCTGTTTCCTCCACAACCCCCAAAGGTTACCATGAGCTCTTCCTGAGAATACTTCAGAAAGCATGACATACCTCCTATGCTTTATATTAAAAACCACGAACTTGAATCCACAGTACAGCAGTCAGTACAGGCACTAGCCACTACATTTAGATTCCTCAGTGTATAGTTTCACAGGAGAGCCAGAAATGGAAAACACCTTAGTGAGACAAGCAGCAAAACTTTGTAAGTGATCCAGGACAGCTAAAATCTCTTTTCTCTTATCCTCAGGAACCAAGGTTCTTTCTCTCCTAAGAATGGGTAGTATCTTTGTAATAAAAGTCTATTAATTTTTCAACCAAGTCAGGAAAGAAATAGTGTTTGGCTCCTGGCAACAAAATTTATGGGACTACAACTAGAAAGATCTAGAAAACAAAGTTACCTGACTCACCCTGAAATAAGAAGGCTATTAAGAGCTTCAGCCAGACTGAGGGCTGAAGGAAAGAGCATCTTCCAATCTTTGACCTAGTGTGATGAGATCAGGGCCTACGTGCCACCCAAGAGACCACCACAGATGCCCAGGTTGAGGTTTAAAGCCTCCGAACAAATGAGCAAGTGAAGGATAATCATCGCACCCAAGAACTGCGAGCAACATTTCCTTCAGGGACGCCATTTGGATGGAGGACCCAGACCTGAGTTTTTATTTAGAAAAGACCTGAAAGGTAAATAAAGGAAGGAGATACACCCATATATATTCTCTAGAAAAAAAACACTTCCATGGTTTATTCTACAAAGGGAGGAATATATAATAGCTTTGGTTTCATTTGCAGGAAAATGTCGCACAGAGAGAAATATTCAATAACTAGATACAGCAGGCCTTGAAGATAACAACCATTATTGTTTACCATGGGAGATTATAAATATGAACATATCTATGAATAACTAGGGCTGCTGCTGCTGCAGTATTTTTTCATCTTAAATATACTCACAGACAGTAAGTAATAATGTCTCTGAATATAAGGAACAGTGAATTTATGTGAGGGACTTAGTTGAAAGTACTGGTTTGTTTCACACCAGCTGTCAAATAGGCCTCTCGAAACTCCTTTTAAGAATTGGAAATGGTGACCTGGGGGTGAATGGCTTATAGCACAGGAACTGATCCCTTGAGCCACCCAGATCCCGGTCCCTGACGATTCTGATTAATCCATGCTGACAAACCAGATTTGGGTCAATAGAAATTATCTGTAACAAGAAACTAATTGTGTATTTAGTAAGTTCAGTGCAATTTTTGGTGGCTTTAAATTTATATGGAAAAGACCCTATTGACTTTTGAAATCAAAATTCATACCACATTAAGGCAATATTGCCTTGGGTTATAATAACTTATGATGTTCTACTTTCTCTCTTGAGTAATGTGTGGTCTGAAGGCACCTAATCTGTTTACCCATAAACTAGGAATATTCTTTAATTGTTACGTATGGAGATTTCAGGTCTATTTACATAATGTATAAAAGCACAGCACATGTACCTCTTATACTACTTTCATACACCATCCCTGTTTAAATGAAGCAGGAAATCACAGCCAATTTCAAGCCACGTTACAATCTCAGCTCAAATTATGCAGTGGCTTAGAATAGTAAAAAGATGTCCCTAAAGTTGCATCATCTTTTGGAGACAGGAGACCTCAGGTGTTAGAGAGCTGCTGAGAGGCAAAGTGGATGAACCAATGAACCAGTGCTGAATTTATATTGTACTTTTCACACAGGAAGATTATCTAGGCCTTCAGTACACCTACACGTGAATCCATGTGTGACACCTAACTCTTTTCACTTAATTTCCTTATGGACCATTTTTCTGGAAAGGAAGATGGAAAATTTCAGCCAGCCACAAATGGACTGAGACCCGCCAATCTCATTTCACATCGAGCAGGTGTCCCAGACCAAGCTACAAAGGTGAAAAAAGAAAGAAAGAAAGAAAGAAAATACTATTAGAGCTAAACAGACGGCCTTTTATAGGAGCTGTGGCATCAACTTAAGCTGGGTTTGTCTTAGTATTGAGAGTCAAGCCTTGCCTCATATTATTTTGCAATTCAATATTATTAAAATACTCTTTTTAGCAGAAACTGTTAACATACCTGATAGAAGGACCTTACTAATCATTTCTCTCTCGAGGTCACAGGTCTGTGAGGGAATGCTGCAAGGTCTGCACTTCATCAAATGCAGGAACCACACGAAGCCCTCACCTCTTAACCAGGTTGCTCTTTTGGAGGCCAAAAACAGAACTATTCAAACCATTCTTTGCCTTAAATGGATAAAAATCCCTTTGAATATTCACCAGAATATATTAAGGGTTTTAAGCAGACTATTAGTATTTGCTCTGAATAGTTGCACCACGGTACCGAGCACATGTAGGGCAAGAGGTGAAAGGGTAAAGAGCCCTTGTTTAATAGAATTTACATGCTGTGTGAGTCTAAATTGTTTACTTGCCTGATAGAATTTTCATAAAGCCTAAAATAAATATCCATAAACTTAACAGATATGCAGGAGAACTAAAAATTTGCTTGTTCTATTTCTTCAAAGGTCACACTTTTTTCCCATGACATAACAGTAAATAGCATGATAAAATGCCTTCAATATATCATAAATTATGGAAAATAACCATTGACTTTTCAGGATAGTTTAGGATATAAATATTTGGAGATTAATGTTATAGATGCTCTTCAAATACAAGCAAGAAATATTACCAAACTCATAATTGTTCAAATAAATCATGAATGTGATATAAATTAAAAATTAGAATGATATTAGTTAGAAACAAATTTTTTAGAATAGTCCAGTTTACTCATAAAATATATTGGGTTGAAAACTGTACAAACTGTGGACCCAGGACTACTACTAATATACCTTAAAATCTATTTGGTTTTGTCCTCTGGATGTCTCCAGATTATAAATTCCCTGCTTCACTGGCACCACCTAAAGATACAAGTAATCCCTCAGCTACTAATGTGCTTGCAACTGTCCTAATATAATTTAAAAGAAATAAAGTAAACTCAACCTTAAGAAGATACAATAGTACCCTAGGCTCTCTTCAAGAATATTTAACTATCCTCTAACCCACATCTCCAGCCCTGCATTGTCACAAAGCCCCATTCCTGTGTGTCACCTGTGTATAGCATATTTCCAGTTGAATTTTCCTCAGTATTTCAAACATGATAAGCCAAGGGTAAGCAATCTAACCATAACCAATGGCCGACTTTGGCCAGCAGCCTGTTTTTGTAAATAAAGTCTTATTGAAACTCAGCTACACATTCATTTACATATTGTCTATGGCTTCTTTCGCCCTACAAAGACATGGCTGAGCCGTAGCAACAGAAAACATACAGTCCACAAAGCCCTTTACAGAAAAAAAAAAAATTGTCAACCTATTATAAACACAAAGGAAAACTTAGGATCTTTTCCCAAAAACATGTGCCTCTTTTCAGTTCCTACTATGATAATGCTAATTTCGAGGCTTATTATGACACATTTAAACTACTGCATAGCCTCCATTCTAGTTATATATTGCTGTGTAACAGTAATTCTGAGATAGAAGAACAAATATAATTTAATTTATATCTCTTTAAAATAAAACTGTGATAAGGGGGAGAAAGTGCCATAAAAAAGAAGTAGGTGTAACTAGCTAATTTAAGATTCGATCTCTTGACTATGTCCCACATTTCTTATGCCCTGGATCCATATTTTGTTAATTTTGTTTCACCAGCACCTTAACGGTGCTGGAAACATGAAGGATATGCAATAAATATCTTAACTGTCTGAAGCTATCTATTTGCCACACTCGTGTTCTATATGCCGTAAAACCAAGTTAAATAGATGATGTTACTGCTATCTAGTTCCAAAACTATCTTAAGAAAGGGACTACTTTAGGCAAAATTGTTCCATTTGGGGGTTATATCTTGCACAATAAGTTACAAATAAGAAAACCTGCTGTAATATTTATAGATTTAGAACCAAACAAAGTATAGCTATTTTGGATCAGGATATGGCTCAGTCTGAGTTTGTAAGGTCTGGTATTCCTTAACCAAGCTTCTGGCATTCCAGCATGACATCAGAAGGAGCCTTGCCTTCTCTTGCAGAAAAGCCTAATAGCTAGCTAATTTTGAAAACGAATTTCTTCCCTGCCGCTGCTCTTAACCACAGAGACAGTCATTTTAATGCTTTACAAAAAAAGGCCTCAAGCCTCCTCGTGTTTCACCTTTCCATTGCTCTGCCGATCACTTAGAGGGCAGACTTGTTCCAGACAGCTTTAATTAAACTGTACCAAAGACGCAGATAGATGTCAATGGAAATGATCCATAACATGAGGCAAAGCATGTATTTAACAGTGTTCCGTCCAGTTCAATCACCTTCTAGCGTTTCAGTGACTTTATATTCATGTAGCGAAGACTGAATGTGTGTATGTGTTTTTTTTTAATCCATCCCATTAGTGGCCATATGCTTGGGCTTCAATGGATACAAGAACTGTCTACAATCTGCCAGGGACTTAGGGACATCAATAATTTGTGAATAGTCATGTTGGTACTGGTCGAAGGGTTAAGTGCTCTGCACACCGGGGGCACCTCTTAGGGGACTTGAACTCTCAGTTGACTGTTAGGAACCTTATCCCCTGTGAGGCTTCCTTCTACACGCGGCTTGTCAGTGCGTCCAGCTGTAGCTGGGAAGCATTATTAGCTCTGGGATTTAAAGATCTGTGTTAAGTACTGATAGAATGGTGTCTTTGAGTTAAAAAGCAGGGAGAGTTTATTGTAGCAAATTCAAGGAGTTTTTCATGTTCCATGTGAAGCATATGTTCTTTCCTTTTGCCTATTTTTTCATACATTCCTTGTGACTAGACAACATAGCATCATTTTGAGAAAGAGTTTATATTTAACATTTGTTACTGCAACTTTCTGGTATACTAGACTATATCAGCCAAAGTAGAAAGACCAGTGTCTCCTTAAAAGAAGAGAAATTTTGCCATAAAAAGCTTTTCCTCCCATTCCCCTACCTAGAGGGTGAGGAACAGGTAACATGAATGAATTTTGAAGTTTGGTCTTCAAAAATTTTTGAAGTACTGGTCTTGCATAAAGATTTCTCAAATAAATAATATAAAACATATTTCTCAAATACATTTTAATACTGACAGCAAAAGAGATCATATAAAACCTTCTGCCTTATGCACTAGCCTGTAAATCCATGTACACCTAAGCTTTGTGTGTCGTCCTATTGTAGCCCTTGCACTTGGCAAAGTGCCTGGCAGAAAGTACTTAATAAATGCTTTCTGGATGAAAGGATGAACAGGAGGAAGAGAGGGAGGGAAGGAAATACTCAGGAAAATACTTTTGTATATCTGATGTGTACACAAGTAGTTGCTCTCTAGTATTTTCTAGAAGCTGTTTTGGATCTGGGAGCGGGCGGTTAGCAATAAAACTTGTTTCAACAATTTTAACAGATACAGATTTCAGAACAAATTTACATTATTATGACCTCTTAGTAATACTAGTGCTTAGTTTCCTTGTTGGGTAAATGACAGGAATAATCATGTTGTGATGACAGGTTTCCATCAGACTATTTTTTTTCTATCATATCTAGTCGAATTTTGTTTTAATACGACTGAATACTCCCACAGTAAAGTGTATTGTGGTTTCTTAAAGGGAAACAGAGGGATCTTTAGTCTTTCTCTCCTTGATTATCTAACTGATCTTAAAGATAGTTTGTCTAGTTTACAGTTGATAGTCTGTGTGTTTGTTTCCAGTAATTCCAGCCTTCTTACCCTGGAGTAGTTTTACCCATCCCTTAATTGTCCCTAGCTGATGTCTAGAAGGTCTTTTTAAACTTCTTAACTGCACAGTGAGGCCTCAGTGGGCACCTAGATTGTGTCTGCTTGGGAAAATGCCAAGCACTAATGAGTATTTTGTTTAATGTAATGGAAACTGAAAGTGCATGGCTTCTTCCTTGACTGATCAATGCCCACTTCTGTTGTTTGAATGTATCTATACGTTCTGAATTCTTTCAAAGAAAGGTCACAAGAGGGCAGACCACTTAGTGTCTGCCCAGGAAGGACTTAAAGATTCAGAAGTTGCGTTTATATGGAGCTCAGTATAGGTAGAAAGTTAGTATTTTAGTCCCTCCTCCTCTATGTTCAGATATACCATCCCTTCTTTTGAACCCAAATTCTATAATCTTAAACTTTTTCATGTTAATTTTAAAATTTTCATGTTAATTTAAAAATATAATAGTAAGAGAATGAATTATGTTGTTAAATTCTAGCCTAAAGCAATATATACCTTTTGTAATTATCTATTTCATCATTATTTTATTATTATAAATATTTGGTATATATTATATTTACATTATTGTTTGCTTTTTTTTTAAGTTTAAGTCACAATGTGTCCAACACACATTTTAAAGTAAATAATTAAAACACTATTTCTTAGTTATATAAATAAGATTTACTGAAAAACCAAACCTTAACTATTTCAGTAGGCCAACGTGATCAAGTATGTTTGAGTAAAAAAATAATGATTTCCATGTGCTACTAGTGTTCTACACACAACTAAGTGGAAAGTGTAGAGGGTGTTTCTGAGATTTCATTGAACCATATATAGTTGAATAGATACAGAGCTCCCTTTGGTAGTATTTATAATTTATAACCTTCTTGAGTGTGCTAGATAATTTTCAAAAGTAAACATTTCAAGACATTAAAAATTTTAAGAGAGATTTACCTCTCAACTAAAGCTTCCTGGGTTTAAAGATTTCATAAAAGGTCTGAGGAGATGGTAAGAAAAGATGGGTTTTGAATCTGGAGAATGGAAATAATTTAATTCCTCAACTTTGAGTATAATGACTCACTTTCTCTTTATTTATTTTTAAACTACCATCTTGCTTCAATCATACCATCATATGCCTTTGGAGACTCTGGAACTATGCCTCCCAGGCCTCCCTGAATTAGTTTATAATAAAAACCTTGCCTGACCCTTAATAACTGTTACTTTACTGAAGTACTGTAATACCTAAACTAAGTTGCTTATTACACCAAACATGAAGCCCTCTGACCCTTAAGTTTCAATATCGATCGGCCCTACTTCTGTCAATACACACCTCTAGTGTCAACAATTTTCAATGTGGAATAAATTCAGGAATAGATAGTCTTCTTAATCCATAAAAATTCAAAATATTTCATTCCTATGCATTACAGTTTTTATACAGTTAAATAACTTGCTTACTTATTCCAAACTCTAATTGTTTGGAGACTGGGCATCATTTTGAGTATATCGTTAATTGTGATTACAAAAAAGAAGTTAGCTATAAGTGATTATTACACTGGGTACAGGACTCATTTAAAATTTTTCAATGATAAAATATTAGTCTAAAGAAGACTTAAAGCAAATATATTGCAAATTCAACAAAAGTGGCTGAGCTATTTTTTAATCCTGGGATCATGATGGGGGAAATGCTTTTTTAAAAGAATACTCAAATGGTTGCTTTGCCCTTGGATAATGCAATAGAAGGTTTTTTTTTTTTTAAGCTGTGGTATTTTTCAGATTGTCAAATGCATATCAAAGAGCTATTCTCTTGGCAAATTTTATGAATTTCAGTTCCGTTTTCTTGACAATTTAAAATTCAATTATACCAATTATAACTAAAGGTCATTAGTCTAATGTGGCAACTTCATGACAGTTTTAGTTACAAAAGAATTTCTCAGTTTAGAAAGGAAGCTCTGCCATATAAGATTTTTATTGTACTAAGGAGTTGGAAGATATTTGAAAAATTGTTTTCTTCTTGTGCTTTGTTATTTATTTAAAAAAATATACATTAAATATTTCTTCCAATCCCAAATTTATAATGTACAGTATCTCATGTTTCCCTTCTATGATTAACATAATCAAATTAATAAGAAATGCCTTCTGATATTACTTGTGTTAATATCATTGGATTTTTGTCTTAAATGTTGCTTTAGGGTTGCTTTATTTTTATTTTAAATAACCTTAACCTGAACATCAGTTTCAGATCTAGGAAAAGGCATTTTCATTTCAATCATGTTACAGGTAGAATTTCTCTTAAGATGTAAAACCAGAAAAGTTGGAGATCTGGTAAATATTTTAACATTGGTTCCATTTGGTGTGATCATGGAGAACTCGGGCAAAACAGACCACAGAGCCAGACACAGCAGGTGCTGGCTGTCAGACCCATACAAGATACAAGAATCTTTATCCCTGTCCTACCCACAAAGAAACTGATTTTGCAATGGTAGGTAACTGCATTTAACAGCTATTGACCGTGCACCTGCTCTGTGATGAGTGGGAACTCATCATTTTTCTGTTTTTGCATTTTAGAGTTCCAGACATTTTTGGAGTCAGAAATGGACAAGATGGCACCCACACTGGGTCCGGTACCTGTGACGCATTTACCCAGAGGAGGAATTATCCATGTGGCAATGCTGGCTTAGAATTCAGACCACCAAGCAAGAACTCCACCACTCTGCTTGAGGAGTGAGCTCTTCACACTAACTGTTCTCAGCACTCCTCAGAGATGCCTTTCTCTCACTGAGGCAAAGCTGTGCTAAGGATTTTAATACTGCAAATGACAGGCCTTTTGAAGACTCCAAATGACCTTTTCTGTCTAGGTATAAACATGTGTTTTCCTTCAAAAATATCCCCTATCAACACAAACTCTCCAAACTTTTAGCTTCCTGCTAAAGCAGGATAAAGTCAGCTTCTTCTGAGCCACCGGTTGTAACTTGTAAATGAACTGATTTTTCTGGTATGATGGGTTACCAGTTCTGTCATCATCATCTCTTGTCCACTGACCAGAGAGGTTGTGGATGACAGTTGTATCTGGCATTCTATATGGTTTCCCTATCAACTTGCTTCTGAGGCCCAGCATCTGGCAGAGAATGCTCCACGTAACGGATTGTTATTTTCATCACTATTGAGCTGAGCATGCTTTTTATCTGCATTATTTCATTTAATCCTTACAGTGATCCTCTAAAGCACAAAGAAACTTGAATGACCAGGACGTGGTCATTACCGACGGAAGAAACGGCTTGAACCAGTGATCTGATGCCCGAGCTCTTGTTCTTAACCACTTCATTTATGCTTCTCCATGAATGGTCCTTCTTATAATCAAAATTATACAATGGATTTTAAAAATCTGTTAGAAGAGTAACTTCTAAGAACATAACAACTAACTCGTGATCCAAATGGAAGTTTTTCATTAGTGTATAGAAGATAGAGCTAGAGAGGTGTGTACATTTACTTCTAATTTACAAGAGCAGAAAAGACAGTGATAAAAGACTGCTTCTGTCTTTTTAGACCCTTAGCATCTTCTTCTACCACCTGTTTGGATGCATATTATGCAGTGTCCTTCAGCTTCCCTACCACAGTCAAATGGTTCTATGCAGCTGTTTGAGTGTATATGATGAGGTTTATTTTGAATAAAGGGTGAATGTGACTTTCATTTTTCCCTGTGATATATAAACATGAATCAGTAAAGATTTCTCTTGAAATTTCTCCAAGGAGTGGCATGCATTTCCAATTAATCTTATAACTTTTAACTGTTTGGCTAGATTCCATAACTGATAGATGTTATTTTAATTCAGATAGAGAGAGAATGCTCAGGCCAGAAAATGGGGTATGCATCAACTTATAGACACATTTTGCTCCCCTAGTCAATCAATGCTTTCTGAGACCCAACGTACTTTGGTTGATCTCTGTGAGTGACTGTTATTGTCAGTTCTTAACAAATTGCAAAAATGACTTGCCCTAAAAATCCATCAAGTTGGTGACAAAACTCGCATAGTGTCTAGGACATCCAGGCTATCAATTACCTTTCAAGGGTGGGGGTCAATGGAAAATCACTTAAGCCTCTATAAAAGATGGCTTTTAAGGAGCAGTTGGGCTGTTGGAAACTGGTGGCCTGGGAGAGAGAAAGCACCTGAAGTCTGGCTAAAGATGTGTGATGAAAATGAGAAAAACATAAGGGCAGAAAGTAAGTAAATATTGGGAGAATTTTTAAAAACACATTTCTCTTCATTATGGCCTACACGAGAGCATCCAAATCCTTTCACTCAACATTCAAGGCCTTGTACAAGTTGGTGCTAACCACTTGTCAAGTCTTATTTCCCAGAACTGTCCCATGTGTTTCCCACCCTGCCATCACACTGCGGGCTTTTTCCCAGTTACGTGGCATACATACGCCTTCGTGTATGGGTGCGCCTGGTGTCGTTCCTCGTCTGCCCTCACTTTATCTGCTTCGGGCTCGCCCACACGACTTTATTTTACCTTAATTACCTCTTTAAAGGCCCTGTCTCCAAATCCAGTCACATTCTAAGGTACTGCCGATTAGGGCTTCAACGTACAAATTTGGGAAGGACCCAATTCAGCCCGTAACAATATCCACTACCTCATTTATCCTCACCAGCAATAGCTGTAGCCTCCCTGTACCTCTGCACTATTTTCATGGTGAGCTTCTTCAAAATACAGCACTTTTATGCCTACCTCTACTTCGGGCCTCCACAGTCCAGACCTCGAGTCTACTTCAGAAAGGCTCTGTTCCTTAATAAGCGAATAAAGACAATGCTTCCAAATTCTAGGATTTCTTACAGAGTTTAAATTGTCAAAAGCCAAGCCCCAATGTCAGTATAAGAAGAAAACAGAAAAGCCACCTCCTTTTTTAGCACTGAGAAAACAGGAAAAAAAAAAAAAAGGTAATACTTTCTTGGGGGGTTGACAGTCATTAGAAGCTCGCGTAAGGGACTCAAAAGTACAAATGCTGGCCTAGTTAAGAAGGATGACTAGTACGTACTACTGAGTATACAGCCTATACTCTGACCCTGGGACCTGTGAAAGGTACCCCTGACACGAATGCCTCCTTTCATGTGAAGAAAAGTGCTAACTTTTCAAAAGGGTCTTAATTCCAGGCCAAAATGGAAAGCACTGTGTCTACTACAGTACATTGACTTCATTAGAATTCTGCAGACTTCCCTTGTTTCCACGCTCGTCAGGGGTAAGCAGGGGATTCCTAGGCAGCATGAACACATTAGGTTTTGCAGGTCTCACCCATTTCTCTCTCTCTCAAATCACTCTCATATTGTGCCCAGAAAAAGCAATCCCCTGCAATCCAATGCATTTCAGCACTGCATTTGAGCTCCAGGTGGAAGACACAGTGGATGAAACATTAACCATGACCTAGATTTGGAGCTGGCCCAACGTGAAGCCTGCCGCACTTCAGAAGGGGAGTCACTATCTCCTGTCCTCTTTTCACTCAGGTGTTGAAAAGTGGGGAAACAATGCAAAGGTCCAAGACATGATCATATGATACCTCCTGTCCAAACAAGAATTATTTCCCTTTCTTTTATGAGGTGGGAAGATTTGAATCACCCCTGTGGGAAGGATGTTTTTAAAATGTTTTGGCAGGTGAGGGGCTGCTGATTCTGCCCTTACCAAGTCACTGCTTATTTCTCTCCCCCTTTCTTTTCCCGTTCACTTCCTCAGACTTTTAATAGGAACAGTTTATATAAATATGATGATGCAACTTATGTGTGTAAATAAATACAAACGGTTATTAAATGTTCAGGAAGTAGCATAACCGTCTTTCAACACAATTTCTACTGGTGAGTGTTTTTTCATAATTTCCCAGATCTACTGCCAAAGAGCATCTCCCAGAGATCTTTGTAGCAATGTATGCATCCAAACTATGGCTGCAAGAAATCCAAGGTGCTGTATGGAAAGGAACACTTTCAAGATTTGAAATTTAAGAAATTTTTTGCCATTAGATGATAGACATTCACATCAATATTTAACTAGCAAGGTTTTGACCTTGGGGTACATGAATATATATTTGAGTTTTAGTTCTGGAATCTTCTAAAAATATATATGTGGGCCAGTTTGTTTCCTTGATTTTACTAACCATGTCCTCTTTTCAGAAGAATTTAGGATGGCCAATAGGCACATGGAAAGATGCTCAAACGTCGCTAATTATTAGAGAAATGCAAATCAAAACTACAATGAGATATACGCTCTCACCAGTCAGAATGGTAATCATCAAAAAAGTCTACAAATAATAAATGCTAGAGAGGTGTGGAGAGAAGGGAACCCTCCTACACTGTTGGTGGGAATGTAAATTGGTGCTGCTACTCTGGAGGGTCCTTAAAAAAATAAACTAGAGTTAACCATATGATCCAGCAATCCTACTCCTGGGCATATATCCAGAAAAGATGAAAACTTTAATTTAAAAAGATAATTTGAAAAGATACATGCACCCTAATGTTCGTAGCAGCACTATTTACAATAACCAAGACATGGAAGCAACCTAAATGTCCACCAACAGATGACTGGATAAAGAAGATGTTACATAGACAATGGAATATTACACTGCCATAAAAATGAAATAATGCCATTTGCAGCAATATGGACAGACCTAGAAATTATCATACTAAATGAAGTAAGTCAAAGACAAATATCATATGATATCACTTATATGTAAAATCCCCCCAAAAATGATACAAATGAACTTATTTACAAGACAGAAATAGACTCATACACATAGAAAATAAACTTATGTGTTACTAAAGGGGAAAGGCAGGGGAGGGATAAATTAGTCTGGGATTAACAGATACACATTACTACATATAAAATAGATAAACAACAAGGATCTACTTATGGCACAGGGAACTATATTCAATATCTTGTAATAACCTATAATGGAAAATATGAAAAAGAATATATGAACATATGTGTGTGTATATACACATACATATATCTGAATCACTTTGCTGTACACCTGGAACATAACATTGCAAATCAACTATACTTCAATTTTAAAAAATTAGTCAATGCTGACTATTACAGCATCCAAAATACAAGGCTTTGTTAGAAGACTCTACCAGTGCACAAAGTTATAGGCAGTTATGGGAAAGTAAGCATTTTTCTTAATGAGCCTTGATTTCCCTCTTGCCTATGTGTATCAGGCTGTGAAAATACCTATTAGTATTTTTTTTCCAGATCTGTGTTGTATATGTGCACGTCTGCCTAGTATGTCTCGTCCTCTCTCTCATCACTCCTTAGAGCTCTTCCTGTTCTGTCTCTAATTGTTGGGCAGTAAGAGAGATGGAGGGTCAGGCTAAGCAAGTAGAGCTTGCAGAGAGCAGAAGCAGATTTACTAACTTTGATGATGGCTCCTAGTGAGTCCTTACCATACACATGGCTGGGTTGCCATAAAGCCAGCTGAGCCGATCACCCTAAATAGATTAAAAGATGACATCGACAGATTTTAAGCAGAAATGATTTCATTCTCTCCTCTCACCAGTTACATGGTTAGCTGCTTCACGCACTGATTTGTTATACCACATAGGGCTGGCTCACAGTCCCTGCCAGCCTTTTGAAGTCTTGATGGCATCGGAAACTGACTGTCTCCTGGGAACGCGCAAGAAAGGAGGTCTGAGCTCCTCTCCTTCAAGGACACTCTCTTCAATCCATTATCTCCTACTCGTGTGCAACAGTCTAGTCTATCAAAATATGGTGATTGAATAAAAACTTTATTTCAGATAATGAATGCATTGATTTAATAAACGGTTTGTACTACATGGTATTATAGTTCCCTAAATGAACACTGAAATGCTAAAATAGGAAAATTTATCATTGGTCCAAGTTAAATCATAGCCACTTCTTTTAAACTGCATACACTAATAAGATACCAACCCATTTGGTACTTTAAAAAAATGTGTTATCTTATATAAGTGCTTAACATTTTCCAGCTGTTTTAAAGCCAACTGTTTTTCCGATCGTAAGTACATCTGGCATCAGGCAGATTATAGCCATGGACAACTGACTAATTTATGATGTTTTTATATTTTCATATTTTTGGCAGACTAATCCAGGTTGATATATTAGCCCAGCTTTCAGAAATGAATCCTGAAATCTTGTACTCTTAACAACCCTTTTACCTTTTTCTCTTTCAAACTCTAGAATATTTTTGTCATGTCCTAAAATTCAATTATAAAACAGAGACAGGGAGAATGAACTGAACCCTTATGTTCTGTCCATCTAGCGTCCCTTCTTCAACTGACCTCCTAGAAGGAATTATCAAGCTGGGTATCAATGTTGATTTTGAAAGATCTTTATACTTTTGATCATTCTCCTTCCTAAAGTCATTGGGCACGCGGGCACTTGTGTTTGCATCCTTATTGTGAGAATTGCATTTTTGTCCAAATGCAATGGGAGTTTGGTAAGTCAAACCAAGCAGAAGAAGAATCAGTTTCCTGCTTTTGAAAAAGAAATATGACGTTTTCAGCCATAGGGAATGGAGGCAAGACTATTTTCTATGGTGATTCTGTTCCTGCATCTTGAATTAGAGAGACCAAGTCCACTCGTCTTCTCAGAACATCTTTTTCATCTGACATCCCCTAGTGGGCCATCCCTTAGCTATTTATGGGGAATCATAACTGCTGGGTTGAATAT